TAGTTCAGAGGCTGCTTATCCCTTTTATTAGTATAATGAAATCTAATAAACACCTGAGCACATTTAGATGTTATGCTTGACGGGTTTAAGAGAAAATTGTAATTACTACTCTTAAGGAACCTGCCCCCCCCTCAAAAAAAAAAAGTGAGTATGTAAAATAAACAGAAGGCTCTTTTACAGTTTAGGAGGTTCCTGGAGTCCATTGTATTTGTGGGGGGAGGGGCAGGAATTAGAAAAGGGAAGAATAAAAATGGGTCACTTCGGTGTCCTGGTCAAAGACAATAAATAGGAGGAAGTACACTTATTAAATTTCTCTGTCTCATACCGAGAATCTAAACATCTGCACCAATAGTTGGAGAGGAACAGATGTCAGAACTGTGTGTTTCTGGCACCATAAGTATACCTTTTAAAAAGCACACACTTTTAGTTACCTACTGCCGCATAACGAGTGACCCCCACACTTACAGGCTTAAAACAGAAGGTATTTCCTGTCTTTGTCTGTCTCCCTCCCCACACACACACTTTTAAATTGATGGTAGAGAAAAGGAAAGGAGAGAGGGAGAAACATGGACTTGTTCCATTTCTGCATCATTTTTTGGTTCTTGTGTGTGCTCTGACCCAGGATGGAACCTGCAGCCTTGGCTTATAGGGATGAGGCTCTGACCTGCTGAGCCACCCGGCCAGGGCTCAGTCTCTCTCTTAATGGAGAAATTTAATACATTCACATTCATTGTGTTTTGCGTTTGATACGCTTGGTCCTGGGTGCTTTTCTTTGATGGGGGTGGTAAAGTTTTACTTTTTGCTTCTTTCCTTTTCTGTTTTGCTGTATTGATCAACTTTTCTTTATTCCTCTCCCCCTCCTAGAGATTTAGAAGTCCTGCTCCTCAATTATGTTCTCCCAAAAAATTGAACATAAGTGTTACAATTTCTAAGGCAAAACCCATAAAATTCATGATTGTCTCATAAGTCCCATAATTTAGTGATGTTTAGAATTCTACAGTAATGATGCTTTTCTCTCAGAACTGTGTACCCCACAATATTTTGGTATTTAGTGTTGATGTTAATCACATTCTCTTTTGCAGATAACCTTTTTTTTTTTTTTTGGACTTAAGTACTCATATAAAGGATTTTCTCTTTTTTTTAAATATATCTTTATTGACTTCAGAGAGAGGGGAAGGGAGAGAGAGAGAGAGAAACATCAATGNGGACTTAAGTACTCATATAAAGGATTTTCTCTTTTTTTAAAATATATCTTTATTGATTTCAGAGAGAGAGGGAGAGAGAGAGATAGAAACATCAATGATGAGACAGTCATTGATTGGCTGCCTCCTGCACACCCCCAACTGGGGATCGAGCCCACAACCTGGGCATGTGCCCTGACCGGGAATCGAACTGCGATCTCCTGGATCCTAGGTCGATGCTCAACCACTGAGCCATGCCCAGCCAGGCTCTTTATTTTTTTTAATTTATTTTTTCTTTCAATACCCAACTCAAGCTTTGGGAACATTCTTTGAAAATGTTCGTATTCACTTGTGTCTTTTTCATTTAATATGCATTGCCTCTCTTAACCTTTTAGTTGGGCAGTCAGGCTTTCATCTGCATAATCTCTTTTTTGTTTTGTTTTCAAATTATTTCTTTTACATGATAGTCTGCTGTTGTTATTGACAATAAAATATGATGAACAGTTTTCCCAAAGGAAAGGGATACTGTTATCAGAAGTATGGCGGGTAGTTGCTGGGCCCATAGACAATGGATGCCCACTACTGTGCAGTAAACATTACTGAGAGATAGATGACCTCAAAGGAATAGATTACAGTTGGTGGGCTTTCTTAAATTTCCCTTGCTACACATTACCATCTAACCTGGTTTTCCTACAAAGCTATCCTCTTTGGGCCACATAGCTTATTATGTAGAACATGTAAGAAATACTATTTTTTTAATACTTGAAAGTTGCTAAGAGTAGATCTTTAATGCTCTCACCACACACAAGAAAAAGTGACTGAACTGATGGATATGTTAACTAACCTTATTGTGGTAGTCACTTCACATTATGTATGAGCATCAAATCCTCACACTATTCACCTGAAGCTTACACAGTGTACTATATCAATTATATCCCAGGGAAGCTAAGAAAAATAAAATTACAACAGTTAAAAAAAAGAAATGCCAGTTTTTACAACTTGGTTTTATATTTGTGAAATTATTGCTCATGATGTTTTGTTTAGATTTTGTATGGCAGCCCATAACCTTCATTAGTATTTTTTCTGCTTTCTGTTTTAGGGCGACTGTGATGTCAACAAGAATAAGCTGCGTGTTTCCTGATGGCTTTTTGTATATGCTGACATATTGTCTGTGATGGCATCCGAGGCAGAGAAGACCCAGGCTTTACTCCAGTCTTGTAGCGCTCAGTCTCTTCTGTCCAGCCTTGGTCTGGGGTTATTCTGCATTGTGGCTGACAGACTTCTGCAGTTTTCCATAATTCAGCAAAATAACTGGCTTCGCGCCCTCTCCGATAACGCAGTGCATGGTGTGATTGGCATGTGGTCCTGGGCGATAGTCATTGGAGTAAAGAAGAAGACGGACTTGAGAGAAATCTTTTTAGCTGGATTTTTAGCCTCTGTTATTGACCTAGACCACTTTGTTCTAGCTAGGTCCCTGTCTTTAAAGGTAAGAAGCACATCTGCTTAATTTTTCAGGTCTTTCCTTTAATTTTGTTAGCACCATTATGTTGAACTTTGCAGCATCATTTCAGTTAGAACTGAAGGAGTTTGGCCTTATTTTTTTAAATATTTATTTATTTATTCTGCACCTGAGGATATTTTTTCCATTGCTCTTTCAGAGAGAGTGGAAGGGAGAGAAAGAGAAATAGAAACATTGATGTGAGAGAGACACATCGACTGGTTGCCCCTGCACACAGCCAACCAGGGCTGGGGATCCCCGGTGGGGGGCTGTGCAGGACGCAGCCCATGAATGTTGTACTCTCACATCAATGTTTCTCTCTTCTCCCTTCCTCTCTCTAAAACTCAAACTAAAAAAAAAAGGTGATTCCAGTCCTGGGGAATGACTTTAATGGATTCATTCCCCAAGTCCCTCTTGGAACCAAAGGTGTACATTTCAATGGACTGATTAGGACACAGTCCCTGGTGGAGAAATGGAGGAATTTCATTAAGGCATGAGGGGTTTAGCCATACAGTGACTATTCATTCGCCTTGCCAATGAACTAAGTTTAAATTGGCAGTTCAGATAATATTTTCTAAGTGTCAACAGATTTGCCTACCTTTTACTTGTTTATGATCTGTAAACATTTCAAGGAAAGAAATATAAACTCATAGAGCAAAGGACTTTGCTTCGTTCCCCACTGGCCTAGAACAGTCCTGGCTCACCTAGTAAGTGTTCAGCAGATGTTTGTTGAAAGAATGACAGATGATTGCTGCTTCCTCCTACTATGTGTGAGGTACTGGGCCAGGTATTTCTCAGAGGTTGTCTTACTTGTTTAGAGACTTAACCAGTATGCAATCAGTAATTCCTGATTAAAGACAAATTTTAACTTTTTTGGTTGTAAGTGGAGGCAGCACGAGATTGGGATCAGAGGACCTGAGTCTGAATCCTAGGACGTTATGTTAGCACACCTTTTCTTCTCTGAGTCTGTTTCCTCATCTGTAAAATGTGGATTATAATGCTAATTACCTCAAAGGGTTGTAGTGAGGATTAAATGAGCATGTGAAATGACACACCTTAGCAACTAGTTAACAGTAAATGTTAGAGACTGGGATAGGCTATGAAGCAGCATGAAAAGTGTGGTTTATAAATGCATTCTTTGAGAACTTAATTATCATTTTTAAAGGCGTTTCATTTGGAAGCTGTAGTGTTAAGAATACAAGCTGTAGTGTGAAGAATACAAGTTTTAGAGTCAGGCAGACCCACTATCGGTCCCATCTCTGCCTCTAAATCACAGAACATGGGGAAGTGACTTAGCCTCTGAAGTATCAGTTTCCTCTTTGTAAAATAGTCTCTGACTCAGGATCGTTAGAAGAATTAAATGAGATAGTGCACATCAAGTATAGCATTGTGCTGATGTCAATCCTTTTTGTTTCAGTTAATTTATTTTTTATTGAATTTATTGTGGTGACATTGGTTAACAAAACCAAACAGGTTTCAAGTGTACAACTCAACAAAACATCACCTGCACACTGCATTGTGCACCCATCGCCCAAAGTAGTCTCTTTCCGTCCCCATTTACCCCCCTTGCCCTCCTCCACCTCCCCTCTCCACTGCCCCTCTAGCTATCACCACATGATTGTCTGTGTGTTACTTTTATATATTTTTTTTCTTAATCCCTTCACCTTTTTTCACCCAGCCCCCTTATTGATCCTTATTTTTGAATGAAATATTAAAATTTTTTTACATTCACCATAAGATTGTATATGATCATCAGTAATAAATATCAAAACTGAATAAGTATTTATGATACTCATTTTTAGCATCTATTTTTACTTCTGTTTTTGAGTGATCTATTTTTACTTCTATAATTTCATGATAATGTCTTCTTTTATTTTTTTATTTTTAATATATTTTATTGGTTTCAGAGAGAGGAAGGGAGAGGGAAGAGAGACAGAAGCATCAATGATGAGAGTCACTGATCGGCTGCCTCCTGCACGCCTCCTACTGGGGATCAAGCCCACAACCCTGGGCATGTGCCCTGACCGGGAATTGAACCATGATCTGGATCATAGGTCAATGCTTAACCAAGGGCGTTTCTTCTTTTATTATTCATTATTTTTCTATGATTGGAAAATCTACATTGATATTTTAGAAATCTAACAAACAACAGAAACATCCCATTTCTTTAGCCAGGATCCCTGTACTTCACAGAGTGTACGGAGCCAGGATCCCTGCACTTCACAGAGTGTACGGAGCCAGGATCCCTGCGTACCCATGCAGAGCATAACTGCTAATCAGCGCCGCATCAGGGCACTGCTTTCTTCCAGGCAGTGATTATCAGAGGCCTCCTTGTCCCACCTTGCTGCTGGGGAGCATGTGTGGAGAACTTAAAAACAAAGATGGAGACAAAAATCGAATAATCCGAAATGTTATGTGTTCTGACAAAGTAGAAATAAAATAACCAAAAATGTGGAGAGGAAGGGAGAGGGAAGAGGAATGTAGAGTAAACTGCTGTTCTGTCAGGAGGTGGGGGTTAAAGAACACTGTTTTAAGCAGGGGGGTTACAAGGCTCCCAGTTTGGGGGTGTCTGATTTGGCAGTGTGACAGCCTCTTTAATGGATGACCTTTTTTTAATGTGGGAGGAAAGTTGTATCATCTAATTTTTTTTATAGGTAACTAATTTTTTTCTTTGCTATCCCCACCCCCCACCCCGGCCAACCTCCAGTGGGTACCTCTCCCTTCCTCGTCACCATCTTCACCCCCGGAACCAATGCGTTTCAGAGCCTCAAATCATGCACACTTTTCAATCCTTTCTCTGTAGTCAGTGCTTGGACCTACCAGGACCCTTTTCAGTATTTTGGTACATAGGTTGAACTTCTTCTAGTGGTAATTTTAGATCAGTCTCTCCCCCTCATCTTTCTTCAGTGCAGTCTTTCCTGGCTGGTGGTGGGAGTGTGAGAGAGTCATGCTTTGGGGTTTGTTATAACACTTTAGAGTAGTTGAAGTCTGAGCATTATCTGACTTCTGTCTGCCAAGTGAGGCTTGGTATAGTTTTATTTATCCTGTTGTATAATGTTTTGAGAATGTGTGATAGATTCAGTTTAGGCAATCTTCACTATCCTCAGCTTTCTTTTTATTAGAAATCATCTAGTTGCAAATTAGCCTTCAGAGTGTGTGGGAACAAAACCTTACTCAAGGATCATTCAGGGGTTAGGACTGAAGTTTTTATTTGTTTAGATATTTATTACCTTTTTTTTTTGCAATGGTTTAGACATTTTACAGAAGTTTAACTCAACTTTAGAATACTTATTTAAAATAATATAATCTTTCTAAATGTTGTAAATACGTTCTGAAAGTATTCAAAGCCAATATAATGTGGTTGTGATAAAAAGATTCCCCTTTTGTGCCTTTATTAGTTGAAGAATATTTTTTTCTGTTGTGAGATTTTTTTCAACATTCTTAGAGGCCACAGACAATTTAAAAATCCAAATTTACACAAACCATAATTTAGGGTTTAAACTGCATTCATATTGTAATTTTTCTAAGCGAATAATAGGAAACTGTAACAAATGAAGCGTCATGTTCTAGAGATCTTGTCTCATTTTTAATGTAAAGGCTGTCCTTTTTTATCTTCCTTGCCTATACACAGTAGGGTTAATGCATGCGTTGGAGGTGGCATAGAAAATGATTCCCCTGCATTTCCAATAGACTCCTGGGAAATGTTTTAGAATATTAAGAAGCATCAATAAAATGTTTTTTGCCAAGAAGGAAATGATAGAGATGTTGCTTCCCGCCCCTCCCCACAGGCTGCTCTGACTCTTCCGCGAAGACCCTTCCTTCACTGTTCCACTGTGATCCCTGCTGTGGTTCTGGCCCTCAAGTGTACTATGCACCTCTTCAAGCTCAAGGACTCGTGGTGCTTCCTCCCCTGGATGGTCTTTATATCCTGGACCTCACACCACATCCGAGATGGCATCCGTCACGGCTTGTGGATCTGCCCATTTGGAAAAACCTCCCCCCTGCCCTTCTGGCTTTATGTAGTAAGCACGTCCTCTTTACCTCACATCTGTTCATTGGTCATGTATGTAACAGGGACCAGACAGGTGATGTCTTCAAAACACGGAATTCACATTGATGTCTGAAGTAACCACGGGCAGCCTCAGAGAAGCAAGTGGTTCGGACAGATAATTAAGGGCAGCAACACTGAAGTGAATTCTAGAGGACATATTAGGTACTTATATTATTACAATTCCTGAATCCTTTTGCTCAGGAGGCATGTACCAGTTTTTAAAAATGATGTATTTGTTGTAATTCTGTTTTTCTCTGTGTAACACTCAAGTGAGTATTAGAGTTCCATTCATCCTGTGATTTATTTTCATTGTTTCTTCTGCATGTCTGGCTTTACTAATAGCTCAATTAGATTAACGTCCAATTAAGTTTTCTGGAAGCATAATTTTAAGGTTGTCCATTTCCTGATAAAAACAGTTCAAATGTTACGGCGACTGATTTGTGGAAAGTTAGATTATGTTTGGACCCTTATTTTCCCGAGGTACTGAAACAGTGAGTGGCCACAGTAAATGAGACCGTGAGTGAGATGTGCGGTGAGCGCTAGCGCTTCCTCTGTCATCTGCGTGCATCTGGCACAAGTGGAATTTGCCAGGTGCTTCAGTGAGTTGTGGTTACCGGCAGAATCCGCTCCAGTGCACTTGTGAGAAATTATGTTAATATTCATAAAAGGCAGCAGCTGACATCAGATGTAGACTTGTTTCAGGAATCACGTTAGGGAATTGTTGCAATATGTTGGCTGTGGAAACATCCTCCTGAAGTATTACTGTTTCAGTATCTTTGCCCCAAAATATCATGTTTTAGGGCTTTAACTGTTTTGAAAAACATAATTAAATTTAACAAAATATTTGTTAAAAATTAATGTGAACAAAAGTATTGATACTTGGCTCATAACTATAGAATTAGAATTCACACACAAAAAGGGACTTACCGGTGATGTCATTTCAAATGTGAGCTCCTGGATGTGCCATTAAAATTGTTTTCAGTTGCTGTCAATTTGTTTACACACTCTTCTTAAATATTATACCAGTTATATCATTTTTAAAAATCTGCCTAATACTGAGAGACAAAACAGTTTTTTCAAAATAAAGGAGGTTTAGAAAATTTGAGTTTCCTTTTTTTCCTTAAGGTTGGTCTTCTGTTAGACACAATCCACCTCTATTAGAGAAGAGAGTTGAGTGGCTGGAAATTTTACATTTGCGCAGTTTAATATTACTTTGATATAAAAGTCAGCACCCCAGAGGCACCCGCTTTTGTTTGCAGCATGTGCACCGTCTGCTGTCCTCATTTGCTTACACATTTGTGGTTTTTCATGCTGGTGCTTGTGTGCCTTACTCTCAGATGATGAGCAGCGCCTTACTTACCCAAAGCAGGTTGTTCTTATAAGTAAACAGGTCTGTAGATTGTTACCAAGGTTCAAGCTCTTTAGTGTAGTTTTCTTTTTGTCGTTAACCAATTGGCTGCAATCTATTAGATTTTATAACCTATTAAATGCTATAATCTGTTGTTATCTTTTGAGAGCAATTGTCTCCATTTGGTTTAATAGTAAATATTATATTGTGGGGGTAAATTTGAGTAAGGTAGAGGTTTTTAAAAAGTCTGTGATTTCAGAAAGCCATGGACATAAAGCATATACCTTGTGGCTAAATTATAAAACTCTACTTTTTTCTTTCTCCTTAGTAAGCAAAGGAGTATCTTTAAAACATGGGGCCTTACTTAAGTGTCACATTGGCATTTGGGGGTAGTCCTAACATTCTCTATTAACATGGGAGTTCATTTTGACCATGACTCTGTTTCAATAACTGCAGTTTTGAAGTGTGGGTTTATTTCTGTTCTTACCTTTGCCGTCAAAAATGTTTCTTGTCCTCTCAGTGGTCTCTCAGTGGTCTCTGTGGCTATAACCTCTGGAAATATNGTCAAAAATGTTTCCTGTCCTCTCAGTGGTCTCTCAGTGGTCTCTGTGGCTATAACCTCTGGAAATATAACAACCAACTTCCTTTTCTTAGTAAAGGAGTTTGTGTCAATACACGCTGTAGAAAGTTGGGCTGTGTCTTGTTTGCATGTGTGCGTTTTCTCCATCCCCTCGGTGGCTTCCACTCATTTAGTGTTTCTGACCGCCCAAGCCTCTGTTTTCTTGACCCCTGTTAGTCATGCTCACTGCTCAGGAGCACGCCCACCACTGAACTGCTTTCTACTCACCCCCAAGCCCGGCCTCCCTTAGTTTGGGCCAAGAACCCCTGTTTCGTCATTGCATGTGGGCTGAAATTCCTCTGACCCTCACCTCCTTTCTATAACGGGGGCCTTTCCTCTCCTAGGCAGTCCCACCCGCGCCCAATCAGGCAGCTACCTCCTGGCTCCTTTTTCTTTTGGTGGGTGGAACCCTTACTGAGTTTTGTCCGTTTTCCCATCTGAAGGGGAGAGAAATAGGTGCTATTCTGGTCCTTCCTCACCCCTTCACGCTAAATCTTTTATCCACCATAATCCTCCGTTTTCTTCATTTGACATCTCATTACGTTACTCACTTCAAATCCTCCTCACCTCACGTGCTGCCCTGTAAGGCTCACCTTCACCTTTAGTGATATGAGCACCTGGGTCCCTTTTTTCTTTTGGTTTCAACCTTGATTTTACCCTCAGGCATCAGATGGCCCTCCTGGCTCTGGATTTCCCTCTTCCTCTGTGCCGCTGGCTCTTATCGCCGTATCTTATCAGCCGTCCACCAGTGTATCAGGCCCTGCACCTCTTTTTCAGTGATGCTGCTCATCTCTGAGATCTCAAACTCCAGCATACGTCAGAATCACTTGTAAGTCCTGATAAAACAGGGATTGCTTGAGACCCATCCCCACAGTTTTGACGTAGTAGGTCCTGAGAATTTGCGTTTCCAACAAGTTTTCAGTTGATACTGATGCTGCTGGTCAGGAACTGTACTTTAAGAACCACTGCTCTAGACCAATCCTCCTTCTTTAACTTCATTCTCTTCCGCTCCCCTCTCTTCAGTGAGCCAACTTCTTGGTTTTATATGGCTTACAACCAATAAGGCCTTTATGGGTTAACCTTGAACAAAAGAGGCATCACCAAATTGGCTGCAAAAGCTATAGCCCTCCCAAGATCCAGATCCACTTTCAGAGACAGCCTAAGAAGTAAAGACCATTATTACAGGTGGGTAGGAGACTGGTCTCCCTGGGAAGTGAAGTCACACATCCATTCATCTGTTACTGGGAAGGCAATGCTGGGGTGGGAGTCTTCCCAGCACCAGCACGGGGAAGACGACAGGCGTGTCCTAGACTGGGACCCCTGATTAATAGGTGTGTCCAGACAAAGAGAATGTTGCTTTTCATGTGTGTCAGGCTCCTAGCCAGCGGGCTGGTCACCTGACGCAAGCCCAACAACCTGTCCCCCAGCTGGAGGAAACCTGAGAGTATTCTCAGTGGTTACAAACCCAAGCTCTCAGGACAGGAAAGCAGGACAGCAGAGAATCTCATCTTACAATTTTCCTCCTTATGACAAATGACACGGAGATGATGACTATTCCTGGAAGGCTAAGGATCAGTGAGCAGCTTGTACNGTATTCTCAGTGGTTACAAACCCAAGCTCTCAGGACAGGAAAGCAGGACGGCAGAGAATCTCATCTTACAATTTTCCTCCTTATGACAAATGACACAGGGAGATGATGACTATTCCTGGAAGGCTAAGGATCAGTGAGCAGCTTGTACCCAAAACCACATTCCTAAGAGCCACAGTTCAAAGCACTAGTTCCTGCTGGAAATATACTGGGTTGAAAGGGGTTGTGTTCCTTCTTGGTACCTCGTTTGGCAGGTGGGGCCCATTGCTTTGTTTGTGCTCTCTACTGGGTATCAGTTCACAATCGTGCAGGGCAGACAGAGGAATCAGTGGGAATTCACTTGTGCCAGCACACCCAGCAAGTGATATCTAAGCTATGTGACCCCTGATGTACCGACTGTGCTGCCTGTCAGTGAACAACGTAGCTACCAAGGTGCGGCTAGGTTTCCATTTATTTCCCATGGTTTCCCCTCTGGACTCAAATCATGAAGCTAGAGCCTGTAGGGTTTTCTTTTCCTAACTACCGATCCCCTCATCTCAGTATATGACTCACCAAGCACAAAGTTGTACTATCGCAGGACCTCAGAGAAATCTGGTTATTATTTTGCCTTGATGCAGGAAAGCTTATAAATCATTCCACACTGATGAATATTTCTAGTCTTAGGCTCTCCTAAGCAAAGCTGCCTGCCACTTCTCTTCACAAATGCTTACTGTATTTTTAATGTCTGTTTCATGTTATAAGAGACATGCCGAATGTAATTCTAGTGAAATCTGTACATGTGGTAAGGGGTGGATTTTTCTTTAGTTTTGTTTTGAATTTACAGATATTATTTTGTTTATTAGGGTACATTTTTACCTCTCAGAGACATCAAGAAATGCTTATTCCTAATTACTGCAAGTTATTATAAATATTGTAAATGTTATGTTATTGAAATAAACCTTTATTTAAATGTAAACCCCAAAACATTGAATCTTAATTAAAATGTAAGAGAAAACAGCAGTGAATTGTTTTGATTCTGTTTGGCAAACTTTAGAAAGATTGATAATAATCAGTGCTGACCGAGTGTAAGCACGTGGGCATTGTTAGTATGACACACACACACTGTCTTGCCAGAGGGAGTTCAGTAATATGCTTTTAAAGTATAAGTCACTTTACCCAGAAATTCCAAATCTCAATTTTAGGAATTTATTCTAAAGAACTAAACAGGTACGTATACAAATGAAAACATTTTTGTTGGTTGCTTAAAATGAAAGAAAAAAAAAAGTACCTAGAAACCACCTAAAAGTCTTTAACTAGAGTTAGTGCCCTAGGTGATGGTACAGGCTGCTAATGGGTGCTAATGGGTGAAGTAGGCCCATGCAGTGGTATGCAAAATTGTCAGAATAAAAATTTAAAACCAGTAGTGGAACAGCGTGGTTCCATTCTTGCAAAATAGGCTTTTCCATTTTTCTATCCTAAGTGCAGTTCTCGGGCTATGGGGCAGGTCTGTTCTGACTTGAGCACCTGACACTTGCTGTTCCTCAGAGGCCTGCACGGTGGGTGAACCCCGCGGCTAATCGTCCCAGTGGGTCAGCAAGCTGTTGAGATGCTTCTTGTTTCCACTTTGGATTCACTACCTCAATCAGACCCACATGCCTTGACTGCCACTTACCTTTATTTCACCAGACCCTAGGGATATTGCAAGACCCACATTAGATGAGCCCCCAGCCAGGAGGCTCAGGGCCTCCCACTGATCTGAGAAAGCAACTCCTGTGAATGATCGTTCTCCAGTTGCTTTGCACTTTGCATAAATCCAAGGCATCGCCACTTGTGTCCCCTTGGCATTTGCTTATGTCCCAGGAATAAGGATAATAATTAAAGGGTCTCCGAAGCATTTTACNTGTTCTCCACAGTTACTTTGCACTTTGCATAAATCCAAGGCATCGCCACTTGTGTCCCCTTGGCATTTGCTTATGTCCCAGGAATAAGGATAATAATTAAAGGGTCTCCGAAGCATTTTACCCTTTTGATGGACCTCACAAAGAGTTCAGAGCGGCACCAATGTTGCTTCCAGGTCAGGGCAGCTGTCCAATCCGATCAGCCCCATAGTCACCTGAGCACAGACTGGTCTTCCTCAGACATCTCCGTGTTTTCAAAGAAAGCGCCCATCTGAATTCACACACCCTTCCTCGTTCAATTTTTTTAATTAAAAAATTGTAATGTTGACATTCTTGCAGGTGTCTCCCTTTCTGCCCCCCCCTTCCCACTTCCATCCACTCCCACTTCCCCCTGCCTTGGCCTTCACCCTATTGTCTGTGTCCACTGGGCGTGCATGTGTGCTCTTTAGCTAATCTCTTCACCTCTCTGTCCAGTCACTCAGTTTTTATTGGACTTAATTAGATCTCCGCCCAGGCTCCCAGGTCCGTGATACCCATCCAATTACATCAAGTGGAAGGCAAGGAGAAATTTTTCCCTAAATATTTGGCTGACACTAAATAGAGTGTAAAATGCTGAATAGTGTTACATAACAGACAGCAGGCAGTGTAATGCATCTAAATGTCAGTGGTCACCTTTCTGCCCTCAGCTGTTACACACAATCATGGGGAGTGGCTGGAGCTTTTTCAGGTATTCTTGAGACCATGCTGNGTTACACACAATCGTGGGGAGTGGCTGGAGCTTTTTCAGGTATTCTTGAGACCATGCTGTAAGGACCATTGTAAGCTGTGAGCCCCGGCCTTCTTGGAGAGCCCCGTGTAAATACCACGCTTCCCTCTTCCTTCACCTCCAGGCTGTTTGCCCGGAGTCTGTAACAATAGTCTCAGTGTTCAGCCCAGTTTCTTGGCCGGCAGAGACGCTGACATGTCTCTGGCTTCTGAACAGATTGGCACAGGGCTGCTCCTGGTCAGTTTAGCCTCACAAAGTGGCATGTTCCCAAGGCCAGTCCTGGAAAGGGCTCTGCTCCTCCTAGGGTGTGAGACCCNTTTCAGGTATTCTTGAGACCATGCTGTAAGGACCATTGTAAGCTGTGAGCCCCGGCCTTCTTGGAGAGCCCCGTGTAAATACCACGCTTCCCTCTTCCTTCACCTCCAGGCTGTTTGCCCGGAGTCTGTAACAATAGTCTCAGTGTTCAGCCCAGTTTCTTGGCCGGCAGAGATGCTGACATGTCTCTGGCTTCTGAACAGATTGGCACAGGGCTGCTCCTGGTCAGTTTAGCCTCACGAAGTGGCATGTTCCCAAGGCCAGTCCTGGAAAGGGCTCTGCTCCTCCTAGGGTGTGAGACCCAGAGCAAGGCACTCAGCAAGCCTCCTGCTCTCATCTCAACAAATCAATCCGAGT